TAAGACCGGCTCGAGATGATCGTAACGAGTTCCTGGCTGGAAAATTCATCTAAGGGCCTGAATGTATTGATAAATACCGATCAGTCACCTGCCTATCGTCGGATCTCAGAAGACTGGTAATGAGTTCCAGGCCACCGACGAATGAGCGTACTATTTCTGCTGACTCCTAGAGGACAAGGTAAGTACATGTTTCATGACATTGACCACCGAGCAGATATGTTGTTTTATGTTGTAATTCGTGGGTCAGGCCAAGAAGCAATGCCGCTGACTCCAAAGAAAAGCTTAATCTGTTCCTCTGGAATTCTCTTTCCACTCTTTGTAATATGGGTTTTAAAGGTAGTGGTAGTGTTTAGGAGTGAAATTTCAGCGTAGAAAGAGACGGTGTTCAATTCTATGAACAGTTCAGGTCTCAGTCAAGGCTAGAAACTGTCAACAGTTGAAAACTTCGAGCCCATTGAACCAGAGAAACATATGCAAACAGAGCCACCCGGGGAAAAGCTTACACAGGCAAAGCATAACTGAATTCAGGTCTTCATTTGATTGGTTAAGAAATGAACAGCAAGTTACTCAACCAATTACAGAACCTGGAAAATCAGAGCCAAACAACTTCTTCATCATGTTGGACTATCGTGCTAGCTATTACAAAAACGACAGAGTGTTGTCTGACCTCCTCATCGACGACGCACTCACTGATGGCCTCTGCCGCAGCTGCCACAACCTGGGAAATAAGCGAAAGATGTGTGCCGGTTAAGTCACGTTTCTCTGGGGATTGCGTTACAAACGATTTCATCGTAACGAGACTCACTGCGTTGATGAAGGTCAAGGAGATATGTCACGCTATTCAGCTGCGTTGATATAAATCAGTGAAATACGATTTAAAAGGATAAGATAGCGTTATTTCAAATGATTTTGCTAGTAGCAATGACCCAAGTCACGTTTGTTTAACAGTGTTGCATGCCAACGTCGCTTAGATAACGTCTATGTCGGTTACTGTGTGAAATGAAAAGAAGATACGTTGCGCAAGAAAGCTCTGAGAGTAAATCGAATGATTTGCTAAGACGAATAATATATTAATCGACAGATTGGTTTGTAGCTTATTTACAGTCTTTGTTGCTGAATTCTAAACAGTAAAAAAAAAAAAAAAAAAAAAAAAATTGAAACAATTACGTCTGAGTCGAGAAACTTCAACAAGGACCAGAGAAGTCTTAATCCGTCCGTGTGAAGAATTGTACTGCAAGAAAGTTACAAAAAAAATAATGTTTAGAATAAATAAAAAATGATTGGATCAAAGTGGAATGATAATTAAGGTAACACGGCTTCAACAACAGCATCAACAACTTACAAACCTTCTGCAAGATTCCTCTTTGGCACAAATCGCGAGGAGCCTGGTAGCGTTAATTAGTACGGGACGTTCCGTGATACTCAGCGCTCGCACAACAACGTGGATAACTTTATCTTCTTTGAGTGTAAGAAGTGTCCGCTTACTGTGCGCAAACTCGTGCATAGCACCCAGTGTATTAGCCAGGACCTAATAGGAAAAAAAGAGGGGTGAGTATCTTTTACAGTTGAGCGCTGAGAGGAGTCCCCGATTAAATTGGTGCACTCGTTATGTGATAGATAGATAGTTTATTCTGATTAAAATCGCAGCCAAAAGCTGAATTAGATTAATCGTTACAATAATAAAATCTAATAAGAGTATGAGAAAAATATAAGAAAAATGTACACAAATTAACAACAATTACTATATATAAATGTGTTCATGAGTCTCTTCGTCTTAGCCAGAGGAACATTAAATGATTTCCTCTTTCGTCTCAAATTGAGTTCACAATTGTTATGAGGAGGTAAGAGCTTATACAGTTCATGGTCTGAGTTGCAAGTGATTGGAATCAAAAAGCTTAGTTGTGATAGACTGCCTGCGTTGGGAGAGCGTCTCCAAATTGGCTTGATTTAATGCGTCGCTATATGGAACAAACGGAAAAATAATTCGCATGGCGCGGTCCTGTAGCTCTTCTAACTCAACAGATATGTATGCGGGAAGCGCGTTGTGAAACACCGGGTATGTGTATTTCATTACCGGGCGCATACAAGTCATGTAAAAGATTAGCATATCTTTGGCGGGAATATTCGCTCTCTTCAGTTGTTTAAGAAAATATAATCGACTCGCTACTTTTTTACTTATTTCAGCAACATGACGGTACCACCGAAGGTCGGAAGAAATGCTTAGCCCTAAAAACTTAACAGTAGACACTACCTCTATTGCTTTCCCGTTGATAACAATTGGAGCAAAGTCCGCGGCTGATTTAGCGAACGAAATCCGTAGTTCCTTACATTTCGATTCATTTAGCTGGAACTTATTTTGATTAGACTTAGCAATCAGTTCCTCCACATCAGGTTGAATACGACTGCCTTCCTTCTTGTGAACACACTCTGCAATAGTTGTGTCATCCACATTTTTCCACAGATCCGTATTGCTGGTGTTGATGTCGTCGATCATAAGAATAAACAGCCACGGCCCGAGCTTGGTTCCCTGAGGCACCCCTGCCGGTACATTCCTCCATTCGGACAGGCAATCTTCTCCCAACTTGACTCTCTGCGTACGATCTGTAAGGAGGTCGATGATCCAAAACGATACGCCAACCGGCATGTCCAAGGCAAGCAGTTTCCCAGCAAGAAGCGCGTGGTCCATCAAGTCAAAAGCCTTCCGGTAATCGAATAAGACGACCCTAATGGTGGATCCTGTACCGTCTGTGTGTTTGGCCCAGGAGTGCACCATACTGATTAACGTATGCGTTGTAGAAGACTTTGGGACAGCCCCAAATTGGTTGTCTCCAATTTTCTTGAGAATTGATGGTCGCAAGTATTCCGCAACAACAAACTCCTCCGCCACCTTAGAGAGAACCGGCGTTAACGAGATGGGACGCAGCTGTTTATTTACGTCCTTATTTGGTTTCTGCTTTGGGATCGGCACGGTATCAACAGATTTCCAAGAAGGTGGTAATAGTCTTTCAGCAAAAGAACTGTTAATGATATCAGTTACCGTATCGGATAGGAGATTTGCATTTTCCTTTAGCAACCATGCTGGAATACCGTCGGGTTTGGACGCTTTCCTAGGGTTAATCGACGCTAGCTGAAGGTAAACAGCATGGGTAGAAACGACAAATGGTTGCTCGGTGGAGTGGTCTTGCCACAGCTGGAAAGATTCAGCAGATAACGGTGTAAAGTCTTGCATTGGGGAGAGGAAAGTTTCATTGATCAGGTTGGCCAGGTCCAAGGCACTGAGAGACTCCTCACTTATGTGCTGTAATGATCTCATTAGCTCTTCCGAGTCCCCAACGGCCGATGACATGCCGCTCAGTTTCTTAACTTCACTCCACCAGGCAGACAGTTTGCACTCCTTAAGCTGGCTAACTTTGGAGTCGTAGTACCGCCGCCTGCAGATCTTACGCTCACGGTTCACTCGGTTCCGCGAGTTCCGCGGTTCCATGAATTACTTCGCTCTATAATTGGTCAATAAAACATTGCGTGATTCGCTCAACCAATCAGATGCTCCACTACAAGCATCTTAGTAGCTCTGTGATAATTTCCTCTGTTCTGATTGGCAGTTGTAACGATTGGCCTTTGTTCTGATTTGTTTAACAACACGGTATAGACATGCGCCCTACTGTAATAATAGTATCGCTGTTACTTCTGGAAAAGTTATTCAGAACATTTAACACTGTTTGATGCAGTGATATTGAAAAACATAACTTCTCAACTATCGCGATAATCGGTACCTTATTAGTTTGCTCCGGATTCTTCAACAATAGGATCAAAGCTTTGACTGCACCAAACTGCTCAAGCCTGAGATCGAAAACAAAAAAAAGGAATGAATAGAAAACACGTCCTACTGAGAGAGATTTGATGCTAGTTCTTTCAATGAAAGCTTAATGCGACGTTTGACGGTTTTCTTTTTGGAAAATCTCTGCAGTTACTTTTTTTCTGTGTCTTTTTACCTTTTAACGTTGTTTTTGTTCAAGGCGCACTTCCATAGGGCGCCGACTGTGGCCGCGAGGAGTTCTGTGTTCTCAGAGGACCTGGATCCCATCATTATTTGGACAAGCAGTTCCAGGCCACCGAAGCGGAAAATCAGTTCACGAGTGGAATCATCTTCCGCGCACTGCAAATGGGAAAGTGAAACGGAGATCAGGTTTTAAGATTAGATCGAGTTTAAAAGTTTCGGGAGGTTGTGTAGTATAATCGTCAGGTTTGGGGTAAAAAAAGCTGAAAGTGACCTAAGTTTTAACAGCCTAAGGAGGAAGTCATGTATTGGAGTCGGAATGCAGTGGTTGGTTAGTTGATAATGGTTTGTCGAGGCTGATCGGTCAGTAGTGAATTACACGTGTAAGAAACGTGACGGGTTCCCTAAAAAGGTGATTGGCTCTGCTGTAGTAAGTCCCGAATCTTCTTTCATTAGTCTGATTGCGTTGTACAGTTTGAAAAGTGACTTCGTTCGTCGGGCGCAAGTCTGTTCGCTTAAGTTCTATGTCGTTTGGTAGATATTGCTAAGCACAGAGCCCCTTTATATATTTAACGTTGAGAGTTTAAATCACGTATTCCATTCCTAACTCATAAAAATGTAGAAGTAAGAAAATGGTCAACTACCCATGAAAAGCTATTTGTAGTTGATAGGCTAAGTTTCGTATCGTTATGCATCTCTAGAATACTAATGTTATTAAAGGAATATATCAATTTGACAAACCTTGAACAGGGCATTTGCACATAGAGTCTTTAGAGCGGTGTCACCCTTTTTCAGGTGCTTGACAATCGCCTCTATCATCCCTTCCTTGCGGATATCTTCACGAAACGTGGGCTGAAAAATATCCAAGCGTAACTGTTTAACGTTGCATTAATTCTGTGATAATGTCAAAAAGCTTTTAAATTAGTTATGTATCGTAAGTAGAAAAGTCGTTAAGCTTGACAGGTTTACTTCGACACATTGCATGTCATCATGGCCCCTTTCAACCGACACCATGCTGTTTAGAAATCCTTTCAATGGAAACCATAACTACAGATTAGTTGCTCGCGCACATGCTGGATGGTACGCTAGTTCGTCGCAGTTAACCCACAGAATTTAGACCAATAAAAATTTGCAGTTTCCATCAATAGCACCAGGTTACAAAAAAAAATTTGTTTCAGAATAAACTGTTGCGCTCAAGAACAAACCACAAAGCTCGACACATCTCTCCCGCGCTGTTTAAACGAACCAATTGCAACATTGCATCGTTACCCATCCTACATTTCACACCTCGCTGGCACATTCCATAAGAATTCCCATAGTGGGTAAAATGACATCATCCGTCCCTCTGACTAATAGGGAAGCGAGAATGGGCACGGCACCGGCCAAACGGATGGCTTGAATGTTTTTCGAGCTTTTGCTGCAGCTCCACAAAGCCATGCATGCATTGCGGGTAAGCCCGAAGTCGCTGTCCAGTTTCGATGGGGGCCTGGTTCTTTTTCGATTTTCTTGTTGAATTATGTTCACCTGAAACAGACAAGATCACAAAATAAGTTTTAAATCATCTTTTCATGACTACTTTTAATTAAGTTTTCGTCAAATAAAAGACGTCAGAGAGTATGACAGTCTAAACACTGATTGCAAGGGAAACCTGGATTACAAAATTAACCTGTATTCTTTGTAAACTCAGAAAATTAACAAGTCGACAGTGGTTTAGCGTGGTCTGTACTCTTACTGACAACGAGATTCGCCATCACGTAGTCAAAATGTGGTGGACTCGCGAGGTGCAGCCGAGTGAGTCCTCCAATCAGATTGCGACATTACTTCCAATTGTGGTAAAATTCAGGTTAGTGAACGGCTAAATGCAGTCCGTGTAGATAATGACATCAGACCTCTCCTTAGTTGGAGCAGTTTTCAGTTGTGTCGAAAATAATCCGGGACTGCTTTGTTTTTGCTTTACTTCGCTCTGTGATTGGTCCAAAAAGCTTGAACCATTCTCTCAACCAATCAGATGCAAAACTAAGACCAATCACTACTTGGTCGCCCGCGTTTTCCCACACTCTGGGAAGTTTGGTCGGTTTTACTTTGGGTTCTCCGCATTGTCTCTTAAAGATATCTGCCTTTCTTCTGATTGGCTTCTGTGATTACCTTGGTTTTGGTGTACTAGATTCAATCAACAAAGACTCTATTCGGACGTCGGTGACTTGAGATCCCCTCTTAAAAGAGAGGTTCCAATCTCTAACACTTTAAAGCGCGTGCTTAATTCTTTGATTTTGAGATTGTTGAAGAAAGTATCTCACCAAGTATCTTATCCCTCTGCCACGCCGAATAGCTCTGTGAGCGAGTCGGAATGTAACCACGTGGCTAAGAGTTTCAGCAGCGAGGGACTGGACCTCTTTTAAGTCTTGCTGAAGGCAATCGATGAGCTGCTGAATGCCTGAAAAGAACAGAGGAGAAAAGCTATAAATCGCATGTTATAAAAAAAATCCTTGCATCGAGGTAGTTCCTCTGCATGGGTTTTACATCTCCCTGTATGGTAATGAAAACTATCTAATCATTTTATCAACGACATGAAAGAAGCAAAAGACAAATTTAGGTCTTTCTGGCGGGAAAACAGGGTAACCAGGCTACGAGGACTCAAAGCCCGGGGAAACATCTGAACATTTGAAAGCGCGGGAAAGCATGCTACGGGTACGAAGCACGGGAAATCAAGCCACCCACCAGCTGGAAGCGCGGGAAAATTGTAGGTAACTAGTTGTGAGCCGAGTTTAGCGCGGGGAAAGTGGGATTTATACCAAATGTAAAGAATTATGTGAGAATTCTTTTGAAGAACTGGTGACAAGTGTTGATTTGCATTTATCCCTTGCGTCATTACTATATCGACGGTGACTATTTCAACGGTGACTTTAATTAGTAAAACAAAAGCTCATCACGTGCGTTTGAAAATTTGTAGATTTCGTGGCCGTTTTCGACAAAATAAGCATATGAAATTACCATATTTGGCAAAATAAGCATATGATATTACCATATTTGGCAAAAAAAGCATATGAAATTACCATATTTGGCAAAATAAGCATATGATATTACCATATTTGGCAAAATAAGCATATGATATTACCATATTTGGCAAAATAAGCATATGAAATTACCATATTTTTTGCGCATGAGAATGAGGACCCCTACGACAAATCGGTTGTTTGTGTGTTCGTTTGGAACCAACGCAAAGCTGCCTTTGTTAGTTTAGCTGAAGAGAAAGTCTGAGGGTAGTAAGAGACGAGAAACAGCTCGAGTTACCGTGAATTTGTCACCACAAAAGTAAGTTTGTTGTAAATGCTTAAGCTCTGTAGCGAGTTGAAACTTGTTTCTGGCACTTCACGCGACTTTTGATCTATGAGTGCCATTGGTATTACTTCTATTATTTGTTGGGAAACCAAATAAGTACGGCTTGTATAAAGTATACGAAATCGCAACCAGTCTTCGTATCAGACTCGATTAAGCGCGGAATGGGTCGATTTTGTTCCAAATCTTCTATCCGAGCCCTTGTTATCATGATAATGACAGCTCATTCACACTTTTGCTATCACTTAATAAAATTACCGAGATAGTAAGCGCCCTCTCATTGGTCAATCATCTATCAGCTATTGTACCGACAGACCCAGAGCTATTTGCAAAAGCAAGATATCGTTCATTATGTTGCGTCATAACCATAACAGCGAGAAGTTGTGAAACTATATTTTTCGAGTGTTCTCCCAACATCATGTTTAGATTACTACACTGGAGACCGATAGACGGTTAAATCTAGTGCTTAAATAGATCAATATGAGTTTTTGAGCAACTGCGCACCCACGCCTCCCCTAACCCAACAACAGTCAACTGATAACAAGTCGGGGTTAAGAAATGTTGGGTCGGGGGATGGGTAAGTGTACAATTGCTCAGATTCTGACATCTTTCCTCAAGTCTGCACTTAAGTATCATACAACAATTCTTTCTCTTCTAGATGTAACTTATATTTTATAGGTATAGTTTTGGTCAGATAATCACGATGTCTTACCTCCCAGACGACAAATCTCCGTATTTATCCTTTTGGTGTTCGTTATCTCTCTCAGAATTTTGAGAGAACCAATCTAAAAAACAAAATCATCCAAATGCTTATCAATATTATTGATAGTACAACACCTTAGTAAGTTTTTTTTAAAAGAATTTGAAATTGGGACTTCAATAGTAAAGTCTTTCAAATTTTTTTTTCACCTTGTGAATATGTATCCAGCTCAAGTTAATGCCTATTTGGGATAATCTGTGTGATGTTAGTGTTGGTCAGCTAGCTACTTCGTGATACGAGTTATTCTGTCTTTTCAACATCACTTAATTGTGGCGAGGAAGAAGCACCACATTTTAATTACGTGTATGAATTTATGAAGTATCCCGATACCCCCTTGCGTCCTCAACCATTCAAGAAGAGTTAAGAACTTTGCAGTTCCTCTTACTTTTGAGGATTATAGAACTGCTTAAATACAGCTTTTCTCTTTCCTTTAAATTGAATTGTAAATTATTCCAAAACTGAAAGAAACAATTCCCAGTCCCCATTTCAAGAGTTCATGACCCAAGATCTAATTTTCCTTTTACCCCCTAAGGATATGATACGTTATAGAGGACACAAAATGTGTAAATCATACCACACAGCGCCAGTAGTCTGTTTTTAGAATGTTAAGGAGAAGAGTGATCCCACCGAGATCCAGAATGGCCAACTGACTTGATTCCTGGTCCAGGCTGATATCACGAAGGGCGCACAGCGCTATCACTGTAGCTGTTGGGTTCCCCACCTTAATATAACACATGAATTTGGTTTTAGTTTCAGAGAGACCAAAAATGGACAGATGATTGTGCAAAACGTCAAAAATGATTCCATTTAAACGATGTAAATTGATGAGAAGTTAGGATGAGTAATAATGGGCTGCATGGAAGCTGGTTGTGGTGGAAACAAGATGAAAAATAGATGACTTTTAATTCAGGCGTGAAATCTAAAATCATTGGCGATTGTGTTTTTATTTTTTGACTGCACAAAGCCCTATAATTGGTCAAAAATACTCGTGCTATTCTCAAAACCATTCAAAGGAAAACTGAAAACAATCGCGACTTGGTCACACGCATTTTCCCGCGCTTTCTTTGAATTATCATTGGCTCCCTATCATGTCTTTCTTTGTTCTGATTGGCTATTGCTATTATTTTTGGTCTCGACTTAACGATGCTCATTTGATCAGGGTTCTAATAGTTATTGTTCCTCTGGCTTTTCCTTAGGGATGTTTTCAATATCAAAAGCTTTATGTAGCAGTTGCGCTTACCTTCAAAAATTTTATTAGTTTGTGAATGTCCCAATACTCGGTAGTTAGTTCAGGCTTTACCTTAAAAAAATCCAAAACACAGAAAATTTCATCACACGCACTCGTGACTGCAGTCAAACCAGATCATAAGCCTTGGACTGAAATAAAATGCAAAATCTTTAAATGTGCTCCTATTTTTAAGTAGCTATCATATTGTCATGATTTTTCACAAAGTTCTCAAAACTAACCTTATTGAAAATGTATGGTGATCAAGTAACGAGAATTTATGATTTGATCAATTACCTTTCTTGGCAACTCCTCATCTTCTTCACTGTCGCAACTGCTTGAAGATGATTCACTCTGGTGCTTGTCAGCGGTATTCTTGAATGAGCTTCTCTGCCGAATGCTTTTTGTTTTACTTCTGGAATTGAATGAAAAAAAGCTCTATCAACAAAAATTTGTTTATGAGATATTGCGGCTTTAAGTAGAGTTTGATTTTTAAATTTCAAATTGCGATAATGAAATCTCACCCAGCAGAAACATTGTCTTTTACTCTGTTCTTCGCATTCTTCCTTCGTTCTTTTGCACTATGGACAACAAAGATACCCTGATAATTAGACTGTGAAAAGTTGGAACATTTTAGAAAAGAGAAACATTAAAGAAAAATGTGGTCGTAGCCCCCCCCAAAAAAACAACAACAACGGCAATAAAACAAAACAGTAATAAAAAACTTTATTACACGACTCGGGCAGTCAGAGGGCCAATAACTAAAATCAACCAATCAAAATGCTCTATTGCCGGTCAATATTCTCTCAGTATTGGACCGGGCACTGTCCCGAATGGTCCCGAATGAAACCGCACTTGTGTCTCTTTGAACTTCAGTCGTATAATAAATCTCTTATTAACCAAGCTTGCTCGGGACCGTACTGGAAGAATATCGGCCCTCGGTCTTTTTTGTACGGACCTCGCTGCGCTCGGTCCGTACTGTCAAGACCTCAGGCCGATATTCTCCCAATACGGCCCTCGCGCTTGGTTAATAAGATATATGTCACTCTTCTCTATGACTCTTTCCAGGAGAAATGTTTGCTATTTGGGCCGTCACCCAACACTCTAGTCCCTAAGAGTGATTGGCATCTAATTTCTCCTTACAATACCACCCCTGAATCAAGTATTGAGGTCACTAGAATAAAAGAAATGATCCCCAACTAAAAAAGCTTTTGATGGTTCTACAAATTCTCCTTGTGAGCATCTTAGGAAATGTATAGAGAACAGTATGAAGAATATGCATACTGATGATGTTAGGGATTTTGTGACCCGCGTAAAACTGACAGCTACATTTACCTTCGACTCTCATCAAAAAGATTGATGTGATTGTTTTTCCATAGCGTCTTGTAAGTCTTCTCTCGTGATGGTTTAAAATCAAGTTTTTCTCCTCCGTTATTTTTGGGAGACCGATCGCGTCTTTTAGACTCACTCTTCCGTACTTGCTTCTTAGAACTTGCTCCTTCTAGTCGGCCAGGTCTCTGGGGAGAAGTCTTTTTGCTAAAGGTGGAAATTAGAAAACCTTTGAGTGTTGAGTCACATGCAACGCAGAATGTTTTAAAGTTCTGCCTGATCATTGTCCTTAGATATCCCAGAAGATTTTCTTATAACTTTCTGGTACGTGTGGTAAAGACAAGCAGGGACTTCCTTGCTTGATTAGTAATCCGGATCAGATTAATGTTAAAAAAGAGAAATTAAGGTCTGAATGACAGGGCATTAGATTACCCTGATCAAGTGACTTAGATGGGTGCGCACGAAAGGAAGGTCCTCGCACCTTTGAACTCATGTGCTCTCGTGAGCGTTTTCGTTACAGCCTAGCATACAAATTCCTTGTTCGAAAAAAACGTGAGGCTATAACTAAAAACAAAAACATTTACGTGTTACGTGAATATTTATTAAAATGGAAATATGTGCGATGGGCGAAAAAGTAGGTGGAAATATCTGCTTTCGTTTTTCACGGCGTCTTTTCCCGCTGAGCGCGCTGCTTCACAGTTCTTTACCCGATATTTTACGTTAGTGAGGTGTCTACCTGATTAACCTATTGTATCGCAAAGGAAGAACAAAATCTACCGTTCTTCTGTTTCTCCATCGTTCTCCTTTGTTTCCAATTGTTCATCATTGTCATTTAGTTCAGCCTCGTTGTCTCTCTTTCCTTGCGGCTTTCCGTCTGCATTTTCTTCCTCACTATGATCCTCTTCTTCCACCTCACGTACAAGTTTTTCCTTGGAGTCAAAGAAACGCCGCCATTGCAACAAGTCACTTAATAACTAAGATACCAAACGCGCGTCGGTTGGTCAAAAACGTATCGCTTACTGAGCCAGTGATTGCGCAGTATGGCAATGATAATACCGGGCAATACTGGGCCAATACCAATACCAATATCAATACCAATACCAATACCAATACCAATACTGGGCCAGTGATCGCGCAGTAGGGCAATATGTGAGTGCGATTACTCCATAAATCGTTTAACTCCTAAAGTGTGGTTATAAATTCTCTACTTTGGCTGCTACACATTTCCTTGTCAATTGGTTACAAGAATTTGGTGTTAGATCAAGATAACAGTTTGAACCTGATAAGTTTGAGTATTCTCGTTACCTGTTTGCTGAATAATGTATGTATATCATAGGGAGAAGTTACATGTTAATCACTTCAGGGAGTTAAGAGTTAGACCTCATTTTGAATCGGTTTATCGGTGTAATAATCCAGGTGGGAAAGATTAGACAAATCACTTCCCATTTGCTAGTTATTTATCTGCTTTTCTCTTGTTCCTCGCGGATTCTTGCGATATTAAACCGATGTAAGCCGCAGTTGATCGCTAATGCCATTGCTCTTCACTTTTTCAAACAAACTTTTCGATACTTACCACATGATCTTCAATAGTGTCACTTTTCTTTCCTTTTTGCTCCTGATTGGAGTATTCTGCAGATGACGTCATATCGGAACAGTCTGGGAACACTAAGGGACTTGTAGACCGATTACAGGTGGCTGTAAATGTCCTTTCTACTGGCCAGTTATAAAATGGGTCTGTGCCTCTGGTGCACAAAGCAGTTACGCGCCCAGATGAAGAGGGACTGTAAAAGACGTGTGGGGCGGATGCAGAGTCACTCGCTCCCTCAGGGGTTAGTGAGCCTCGTCCTGATGTCGAGGAGGTATAGGCGGAGCTTGTTTGCTGACGAAGTTCGGTAAGTTCTGTTTGTTGCTTTTCGACTAAATCTTCCAAGCTATAAGAGCACAGGTAAAGAAAAATAATCATTATAAATTCAAAATTCGAAAAGGCTCTCGAAACGAAAAAAATGTTGGCTTGTACGTCACTTCTTTTTTATTTACCCATCCCTCCCTTGCTACTTTTAATTCCCCCACCCTGCTAGGGACACCCAGGGGCGTGTGCATATGTCCTATCAATTAATCCATTCTCAATCCTGAAGCTTTTTCCCGGTGCGCAAGCGCGGTCATGAGACTCGAAACTCTTCTATTGAAAGTGAATGGGACTGGGGAGGAGACTGTCCTCTATGACGACCTTCACACTGCTTGGATCAACAACGAGTCTTCTCTAGCCCTCATAGAGTGGAAATGTTGTGATTATTTTCATGGGCATTCAAAATTTACCCGTACTTCTTGAGATAAATACGAGGTGTTAATATATTTTCCATCAAAGTAGATTATTTTTTGATAAACACCTCGCAGCGAAGAACTAAATTAAAAAATCATCCCGTTGGACATTTTTTTAAATCTTGCTGTATTCCTTATCACTTTAGAACTAAAAAAGAATTGATTCGTACAATGGTTTTTTTCTTTTTTGCCACAAAAATATACTCGAAAACTTTTCTTCCTCATTTGCTAATGAGCGCAGATCGTCTTTGTTTTCCATATGACCACATTAGATAACAACAGTGGGTTCATAATAACATGGTTATGTCTTCTACGTTTCAAGGTCCTCCCCACACTCATCTTAAAACTCAATCAATAGAGAAAAGGCCTGGCAAGGAGGTGAAACTTCCTTCTCAAACTTTGAGAATGATTTTCTTCTAAAACTAACCTTCAAACGAGTTTATCGATAGAACATATTCGATAAATTGTCGAACCTAGCGACCCGATTAATCTAATGCCTCTATAATTTTCATGACAAAAATAGTTTTCGCACTGCTGGTATAAAGATAATTTCTGTTTTCGCGGACGCGATCACAATTGTTTGCTATGAAAGTCCTACATTTAAATTTTACTACCGACGAATGCATAAAGTAAGATCTTTTTAGTACCGTAATTGCGGGATATTTTAAGCAAGAGAACATGGTATTAGCTTGTGATAAGATAACAACGAAATAAGAATTAGATTCGTGAAAATCTTTGTCTGTATTTATCTCCCCAAAGAATCCTTTGAGGCAAAAAATCACCTAGATATAAAACATTTTACGAAATCATACCCATTCGATATTAAAGCTTGAAAAACTACTTAATTTTCGATTATTCTAACGTACCGTAACGTCGCTTTTGCCTTGTCTTTCGCTCTATTCCTAAAATCGGCCTCAAGGCTTCTGCCAAGTTCTTTAGTAATTATAGGTCTCTTTAACTGTCGAAGACCGAACTAAAAATGTCGTCGTCAAACGGATATTCAAAACTTGGTTTCTCTATGGCAACTCTTGTAACAGCTCAGCTGTATACATATTCGAGTCTGATGTCAAGCAGCCTTCCCTCATTTGAATAAAAATGTTTTTATTTACATTGGTTGATAGTAAAGTCGACCATTGAGAGAAAAAAGCCCCATGTGCGCATGAGCATTTCAACATCACCTGTTTGGCTACTAGGCGACATCAGGTGAAAAACTATGGAGCATGCTTCGCTTTCTTTTGTGTTTTTTTTTTGGTTTCTTTCCTCAGCCTCAAGGCTCTCCTAGTTTTCCTATGGTTTCTCACTTGTCGTAGTGGTTTACAGGATCTCGAATTTGAATTGTCGATATCTACATGCAAACACGTATCTTCTCTCACAAACAGCATTTTTTCCGGTCTGTTCAAAAATAAGGCAAATTCTGATCTCACAGACAATAATATGCACAGCAAAATTTAAACTTTCAAAGCAAGTTTAAATGGAACCGCCTCTATTGGCATCTACCATCTGCACGTCAAAGGAATATTTTCTATGTTAAATATGAGATGATAAATAAAATGTGAAAGGCGTTTTTCCTTCGTATCCCAATTTTTGAAAAAAGAAATTTAAAAAAAATTAACTAAATTAAGCCCAAAAAAGCACACCGAAGGCGAAAGAGATATCTTAGAGTATAGAACATAATTTTGGTCATACACTGCAAGCCTTCATGCTAATGAAACACACAGCTTATGAAATTCTATGTCGACCGCTAGTGGAGAAATGCGCGCGAGAGGCCAGCATCACTTAATTTTGGCGGGAAAAAAGCTGTAACCCCTGTCACGTTTTCGACGAATGACAAAGTCCTTGGCAAAAATAATTCGTCAAAACGCTTAATAGTTTTATGATTAGGAAATGGCTTGCAAAATCTCCGGATAAGATAATTGTCGCAGCTTCATTGCTCACATTGAATAAAATGAAAGTTCTGGAGACATTTACAGATATATGTTTTGCATAATTCATTTGAACATCTTTGGAGAAAATAACAGAATAAAGTAAAATCTTGATCCCTGAGAAATAGAGCAGTTGTTGTGTCTTAAGCACTAATAAACTTCATTATTTTGTCTTAACAGTTATCAGTAAAAGTGACTATTTCCATTCAAGTGCTAATGCAATTACGACAGTTCGTTTTCAGGTGCAAATTAAAAATGCGTTCCCAAATTTCCATTTAAATGAGCAGTAACTGTCAGTAATAACTACTCTCTGCAAAGGATATTCAAAGGGTCAAGATGTCCAAACGTAAGGAAACAAACGTTGAATGAGCAAAAATATTAAATAATGAGGCAAAATGAACGAGAAAAAACGGACACATTCGTTTTATAAACCATAAAAATAATAATTTTTCTCGTTTTACGCCTGCGACAACGACTGATTAACATCTTTCCTTGATAATCGGCTAACTGCTTCTTTTCCCGCCTGTTTTGTTTGCGCGCACATTTTCTGGAAGGCTTTCTTGTTGCTACTTTCGTTCATTTTAAGACTGGAAAATTTTTTTTCGAATTGATTTTAGACTTATATAAGTTTGCCTGCGCACGAATTTCTGTTAAGTGGCTACCAGTTTCTAAGTAAACAATCTTGAAGAAACATCATCTCTGTTTGAGTGGTTCCGTGTTTTATCTTCTGACTTGAAAAACATTGATAATAAACTGAACCCTCACAAATGTTTTTCGATTTGAATTCGAAAGAGTAAAACTAATCCTGCCTTACTCCTCTAAGAGAAACAGACTCCTTGTAGAGTGCGAAGCTGCATCACAACACGTTTGAAGATAATAAATATTGCGACTAAAATTTTTTACATTTTATCGTTTTCAAAGCAAGGTTGCCGTAATGAATGAAACATGGGCATCACGTCTGGTCCATCAACAAAACATTTACTAGATTGTGTAAAATGAAAATACCGTCGTTTTGCGTCAAGAATGCCTGCGATGTCTGTGCACAACTCAATTATTTTCTTCTGTCGATCTTCCTTGTCTTTCCCCATCGTGTTGAACCTTCTCACGATTCGCACAGCTTCTTCGGCAACCTGTAAGCGGCCGTGGTCATCCACGTCTTTCTCAGTTGCCATCTTTAAACTTTTAATTCCCCTGGATAAAAAATGTTTTATGTTAGCATTTCACGCAGTCGAAAATAAACATCTACCTACAATATTTTTATACATCCTTCAAGCGAAAAATGGAGACTAGTAACAAAAGATGGCTCTGTCTTATCCGTGCATCTAAACAACAGGATGAATGACCTTGCACTCTTTGAGGAACATCGACAGCTCAGAAAATGTATCAATTTTCCAAGAACGACACGTTATAAATTAACGGTATTTCTTATTCGTCAGAAACAATCAGAAAAAACAAAGGGCTGTGAAGCGTTTAAGAACCATATGCTTACAACTGTTTTCGTAAACGAGGCTTCACCGAGGGGCTGTTTCAATATAGTGTCAAAGACACTTGACTAATATTTGGCGTCTCCAAGACCTTGCCACCATAATGAGTTTAATTCCACTCGCTTAGATCAAATTCATTTTATACAGTGCGTTTTAAAATGATACCATTGTATCTGTCAACGTGGAAAATCACCAAAATCTGCTCAAAGTATTCTATGTTTTTCTTTTATGAATTAGATTAGACTCCTGTTTACAACAATGCATTCACAGAGATTTTAAAACATATTGATAATTGTTAGAAAGCAAATTCTAATTCGAGAGTGCAATTTGTAATAAATGTTATGAGCTTCCCCAATCATTTAAGCATACAAAAACTTCACTTTGTTTATACATATATATTTCAGGAAGCTAAGAAGTGCACGAAAAAAAAAAAATTAAATATTCAACAGGTTGATTTATGCACCCACATTTTCATGGCACCCGCAGGACGAAGCTGTGAAAATTTTTTTCTTACGTCAATACTTTTTTGCTGCTACAATATTTGCTTTTAATAGCGAATCATTTCAATTAATAATGTGACATGCATAGGCCTACTTAACCGTTGCATGTTCATAGCGCGTTTCCATATGAATTAAATATTTATACTCGTGTCCTGTCAGTCCTTTGAAAAAATTGTTAACGGCACGGCACGGAGAGTCAACTTGTTAACGAAGATCTTCTCCACTAAGTGCTGTATGACCAAAACCAGTCATCAAAGCTGTCTGAAGCCTGGTAAAATGAGGCATACGAACAAGCTTTTGGTCTTGGTTTTTGAATCTGATTTGGTTGAAATTAGGTGCAAGTTTCCAGAACCGGTCACAAAGCGTGGGAAAGTAAAAACAAAGGAGTCCCCGATTGCTTTCGACAATTAAGTGAGAATTACTCTGAAAATTCACTACAGAAACAAACTTATAACACGATCACCGTGAAGAGGGCATGTAGATTAAACGCTTGAGATTACTACCCTGTTAAGATATGGGGTATTTTTTAACAAAATCTTATCGTTGATTGGCTGGTGATCGGGATGTATTTCCACACTGAAATATTTTACAGTTATTCACCGAAAAGGGAGTAGGCGTTGTCGAGTATTCATACCAGTGGCGTACACTTCTACCCGTCCATCACAACCAATCACATACTGAATATCAAGGTACCTGTCATTGTTTTATTTATCACTCGCAATAAAAAGTATTAAGTGAACCGTCATAATCTAAAGCCTGAGGGGAGGGGGTAGAGGTTGTTTAAGAAGGATTTGTTCGAAAACCACTCGTTTTCCCGCTCTTTTGTGGTTTTGACGCTGAGGACCGCAGGCTTCAGTACTCTCTTTTTTTCCTGTAGCAGCCATCTTATTTCTGTTATGTTTTGAGCTCGAAATAAATTATTTCATTTGACGATTTCTTCCTGGTAATATAATTGTTCGAGTATCGAGAACAGAGGCGTCGGAAGATTTGAGGGGGATCACAGGGTTTTTCACGTGAAACGGAAGCCGGGGAGATCAGCAGTCGCTAACAGAGTCTAATGGGACGGGGAATTTAGAAAACTGACCAAGAATTCACTGCCAATTGGAGGGGGGAGGGTCATAAATTAATTGTTACAAAACCTTATAGGGAGATTAGGTAAATTTCATTGTAACACAGCCAATTCCTTCCCCCCGCCCCCTGACGATAAAGAACCTCTTCTTATTTGGTTTTTCACGCGCTGAACAATTTTACCTTATTTCCCTTTGTCCTTTCTCTGGAGTATTCCTTATCTAAATAATAAATTTGAGTCACAGTATTAGGTCATGTAAATGACATGACGTGTTGCTCTTCGTGTGTTGTCACGGCTCTGGTACGATATACTGTTGTTCTTATTAGTCTTGAGCAATTGTTTATAAAGTATGTTGTCCTCAGTCGCTTCCAATGTTAGAACTAGTAATCTGATTAGCCTTGGCTTTAAATACACACAATCATTAGACAAAAAACCGTGTACGGGCTGTGGTGCTAAGCCTGAAAAAGTAATCGACTAAGAATGGTAATTATTTTCGCTCTCTCACTCGTCAATGCGAGAGCAAAATGAGTGTTAAAATCTTTAGAATATTATTTTTATATTTGGTGAGCAATAACACATCTGCTATAAACAAAGAAAACGAGTTTCGATTCCTTTGGATACAAAAACTTCGGCTAGTAGAGAGATTTCAAAAACGAATTTTTCTTCATCTAGTTGCAATCGCGTGAGAAGAAAATAGTAATATCTAATTAAAACTTTTATTGATCTTCGACATCGCTTTTTTGAGAAAAATGGAATTTCCAGAAGTACATAAAGCGTTTTTAAAACTGAAAGCAGAGTCGTCAAATCAATTACTTCTCCGCATATGTTCTGAATGGAAAATTTAAGCCCGAAAAATCAAGCAAAATTGCGAAATATTGTGTACGAACGAATCTGAAATCTGAATTGAAATAGCTCTGATTACTTTATTGTAACGATTTACTGCCCGATCACACGGTCAAAAGTATATAAATTCTGTGGAAATGTTCAGTTCTATTCGTAGTAATAAACAAAATATCATGGTTAACCATAAAGATTAGATTCATTTTACCTTGGAAAGAAGAGAAATCGATGAAATTTTCGTCGTCACATCTGAGACGATATTGAAAACAAACCGTCAGTTTTTTTTTTTTGTAACGCGAAGACGCCAGCTGCAAATACGTTTTATAACTTTACTTGTGCTTTGTATTTAATTTAACATTTTTATCCAATTATCTCAACACAAACACGACCACAAATAGTTAAATCAAACCTCTTTGTTCCAGACAAAGGATTTTAGAGAACTGTTAAAAGATATGGAGATAAAATAAATGAAACGCCTTAATGAAAATTCAGATGAAAATTTGACTATCGCAAAGTAACCCCATGGTTTTTGCAATAATTAACTTTCCTGTTTACGTCAGAGGATTTCAAAGGAAAAAATATATCAGGCATAAATCTCTTTGGTTGACATTAAAGATCGACAAAAACAGTTTTGATATGTGATGAGGCAATTTTAAGATCACGTATAAAAACAGAGAGATTTCTTATTTTCTAAAAAGAGATTTATGGTCTTAGATCTTCGGAGGTTTTTATCAAAGAGATAATTTTTTTAGCAGAAATGGGATTAGTGGGCTGAAGCCGTTGACTAAGTGTAGTATTGATGTTTGTTTAGGGTTATAAGAAAATAATAAAAACCTTTAAGAGTGCATAATCTCCAATTAAAAGCTCCATTTCCAAATGAATGCTAAGATGGACTTTTCCAGTCAAGGTTTTAGAATTTGCTGCTATCAAGAGGCAAACAGGCATGGGCGACAAAAACGCTCCTAATAAGAGCTACATTTTATTCCTCGCAATATCGATCTCAGAAGACCAGATAAAGTTGGTAAATCATCTTAACTCGATATTTGGTGTGACTTACACGTATTCACAATAACCATCTTAGATTAAGAATTAAGAAAGTCTCCTCATACGATGTGAATTAAATTCGCTGCTGTGCATTCTGAAACCTTCATTTGCTCTTGAATCTGCTTTTACCCCGCGACCTTCCTACGATAGTATATGTTTCATGTTAAAACATCCATTTTTCACTGATATGTTCAAACAAGTAAGCCTTGATCCGCAAAATAAAAAACATGTAATAAAACCATGGACAAGATGCAGTGGAAGACAACCGAAAGAAAAAAATTCTTACTTTACGGAATGTTTTGACTAGTAGATCTTTTCGTGATCGAGGAACCCCAACGGTTTTTTCCTCTTTTTTTTTACCGTTCATCCGCGAAAAAGAAAGGATCTCATGGCAACAGTCATGTCCATTAATCGGAAACGTAGGATATCGGCAGATTGGGTATAATTTGGGTATTGGCCAAATACTGGAATACAACATGTTATGGAACAGTTGATATTTTTTCTTTATTTTTTTTTTTTCAATGTAAACAAACATGAATTACAAGCTCGATTATAACCGTCTCGAAAAATAATAAAACTTAAATCAGACTTAAACCTTGTTTTCTTGCGTTATACACGTACGATGGGCGGTCAGGTGGATAGCCCACAAATCAGTGCAGTCATTTTTAGCCGCACATAATTACAACAAGTTAATGTTGATCTCTTTTGTAAACAAAATAATCGTTTGCAATGAAAATCCGCAAAAATCTAGATAAACTTCATAGCATGATATTAAAAACAAAATAAATTGTTCAGGTTGTGTGTACAGTTTAACTTCAACCGAAAACGATTAATAAATTTAATGCGATTTAGGTGTCAAAACATGGGCATCTGAAGTATTTTCGAGTTTTGATCCAAATGAAGATTTCTCGGTTTCAATTTGACGTTTTTGTGCAGTACTGAGCCGCAAATATCTGCAATTCCTGATAGCTTCTGTGTCAAATGGTTCTTTCTTGGTTATCTCAACTTTTTCTTGCATGGTTTGTTTTTGTTTTAAATCTCTTTCGACGTTTTTATATAAAGGTGGGAAGTAATATGGCGATTTCTCTAATAGCGGCGCCTTATCGTCGTTAACAAACGCCACATGTTTTTCTTGCGCTTTTTCTCCGGACCTTGACACCTTGTCGCGTAGTTTATGTTCACTGTCCTTTGTCCTGGCGCTTCGTCTCGAGGAAAGTTCACTTCGCTCCTTGAAAATCAAACTACTGCGTAGAAAGCCTTTTCTTTCCAATGAGAGCCGTTGAGACATTTCCTGTTTCTCCATTTGAATTTGTCTCTCCAAACTTTCGAATCTTCTTTGCTCTGCAGAAAATGAACTGTTGAGTTTTTTCTTTGTTGAATTTTCAAGTGATGGCAAAACAATTTCCATATCACTCCTTGTGAAAGTTATCTCGCCTTCATGTAAATAATGTCTATCCATGTTTACTGTAATTTCAATGAAAATCTTCACTTGACATATTCAACGCAACACTGACAAACATTGAAACCAATCTATGCGGTCGAAGCTGGTAAAACGCTATTGGCACAGCTACGAAATGTTTATAAATACTGACACAAATTGTGCTCCTTATTTGCAAATCTTTTTTCGTTTCGACGAGCGATAAACATTCGCAGTAGTTTTGTTAAAGTGGCCATGCATTTGCATATTGATGGGTGATATTTTCTTTCAGATCACCCAGGTGTTATGCTGCCAAAACCATCCTTAAGACCAAAACAGAACACTCATTGATAGCAGGCGTAAAATCTCACAGAAAACCTTTGTAACGCGTTAACCGTGCAAATACTGTTTCTTTTTTTGTTTATTATTATTTTTTTCAGTTCGTATTTCATGTTTTACTATATAAGTAATTATCTTTGCCCAAATAGCTAATATCTATGAATTTCCGACAAATTATTAATGAAGTCGTTGTGTCGTTCCTATCTTGTTTTTTAGTCTCACCAGCTGTTTTTTCTTTTGGTTTTTAGATGAAAATTATCGTAGCGTTTTGTCATTAATCATTGAACGACACAAATTTTGATTTTAATAAAACTGTTGATAAAAAGCGATTTCTTCAAACATTTGAGTTTAAAATGAATCACTCAAAATAATTTTAAAATGGTTAAAAAACCGTTGAAAAACAACGACGATTCGACGTGCAACTAAGATAATTGCCAAGTCAATAAATATTGGCTCATATCTTCACAGGCGGCCCAAGCGTACTGTGTGTGATCTTGTAGCCTAAAGGTCTTTAACGAGTATAACAGATTAAGATCTCGAATTTTAAGCGTAGGCGTGGGCTGTTAAAGAAAGGAGAATTATAAAAAAAATTATGAAAAAATTAAAAAGGATAATAAAGGCGAGGAATATAACATATGGAGTCTCCTTACCTTTTTTCAGTAGCCGCTTTGTTGTTTACGGTCCTATGAACGCTTTTTCGGCGACTTTCTTAATTTGTAACCCGTGTGGTGCTACCAGTCAACTGTATATAGAAAAACAGTGTTTTTAGCCAGCTTCGTTTTACAGTTGAACGAAAGTTGACCTTAGTGCTTGTCGATTATCGATCTTCGGTTTGTCTTTTCAAAGTCGATAAACGCATTTGAATTACAAATAATTTTTTTATATCAATATTCATAATGCGACCAGTCTTGCACGTGGAAAGAACTTTCGAATTGTAGGAAATTTTTTTAGCTACTTTGGGGCCAAGAAACACGTTATTTATTCTTAATCACGCTTGGTTTTCCTCCATTTGGCCTTAAAAACTGGCAAGTGTTTCTCCGAGGTTGTATCGAGTTGTTTGAATTCGACGTCGGTGAACAGATGGGTGTCATTTTGTCGCAATGTCTCTCCAAGGTAAACAACCTACGCATAAAATTCATTTTTTGATAGTTATGCAGAATTTGAGATTCTCGTTGTTTAAAATAAAATTGCAGAGTTAAAAGTAACAAAGACGTAGCATGTTGCACACAGTACAGTTTAAGACAAATCTTCGACAGTTCTTCTTGAATTGCTGATCGGGCAGAAGCGAGAATTCCATACTTTATCGTTGGTTTTTTAAATCGCTTATTTACAATACAATACAATTTTATTTATGTAGCGCTAAAATCTAATAATTGTCCACAGCGCTTTAACAAAAAAAATAGGATAATAATAGATAAAAATAATATATTGACATAAAATACTAAAATGATTAAAAATGTATCCTAACTATTGTTAACATATATATATACATATATATGTAGAAAGTTTAAAAATTGCGAGGATGGAGAACTTCTGACATCAAAAATGTAAAAAAATTTTAATAAAAAACGTTTCGGTCAGAGACCTTCTTCAGTTATTTAGGTAAATAACTGAAGAAAGTCTCTGACCGAAACGTTTTTTATTAAAACTTTTTTATATTTTTGACGTCAGAAGTTGTCCATCCTCGCAATTTTTAAACTTTCTACGTTCGTGTTTGCTGTGAGGTTTGGACTGCGAATCTTTACTGATCCTCCTGGCGCGGTGCACTTTTGTTAGCCTGAGAGTTCCACTAACGACTACATATATATATATATATATATATATATATATGGAATAAATGTTTGAAAAGAAAATTTGCCCTGATTATTAAGGGTGTACAGGGTCAGGGTTTCCCGTGTATACAGAATTTATATATATATATTCTGTATGCGAGGGAAACCCTGACACTGTACACCCCAAGTAATCATACTTAAATAGAATAAATGTTTGGAAAAGAAAATTTGCCCTGAGCGGGATTTGAACCTACGTCCCTCCTGTTACTAGTCAGGTGTGATGAGCACTACACCATCAGGACAACCATGCTGGCAACACGGCAATCAAAGATGTGATTTACGTGATCGGAGATGTGGTCTCCCGGGAAATTCAACTTTTCAAGGTGACTGGGTAGGGGAAGCCTATAACCCCATATGAAACCCAACTAAGGATCTATTAAAGATACACGACCGAAGTCAACTTAGCGGATCACAAAGGAGGATCCAATTACGGATACAGGCTAATTTCAAATAAACAAATCCCGCTCAGGGCAAATTTTCTTTTCAAACATTTGTACTATTTAAGTATGATTACTTGGGGTGTACAGGGTCAGGGTTTCCCTCGCATACAGAATTTGTTTAATTGAAATTAGCCTGTATCCGTAATTGGATCCTCCTTTGTGATCCGCTAAG